TTTGTGCAGACTAGTGTTGCACAGGATACTGGTACTGAAAAGGTGCTGTGTGTCACGTTCGGGGACCGGCGAGACGGGAAGCAAACGAGAGCAAGCCAGGACTTCAGGGAAACGGGGTTTATTCCGACGCTGACAGACAACACGTAACACTATAATGCCGGATCTCGCAGACATGGGGAGACGCGGACTGATATACACAAGACTTGGTAAACGGAACAGGCAACAGGTGAGAACCATCAGGGCTGAACACGAGGTAATGAGGGGGGCGTGGCACACATCGGGATCGTACGGAGCGGGATATGACACTGTGGTAGTACATTTTTTGGTATTGCATTTCAGTATTACATTTCTTTAGTGCCTGTACTAATTATACTATTAAAAACGTCATTAATGCTATATATGGCTAATGCTAACCATCGAATCAGAACCATGGACTCAATATATGGGTATCACTGCCAAAACTCTGTCAGAATTGCATGCATCATGTCAGTCAAATTCTTCCACACCAGACTCACTCATCCATGTCCTTATGGACCTTGCTTTGTACAGTGGTGTGCAGTCATGTTAAAACAGGAAGTGGACATCCCCAAACTGTTCCCACAAAGTTGGGAGCATGAAATTGTTTAAAATGGTTTCGAATGCTGCAGCCTTAAAAGTTCCTTTCACTGGATGTAAAGGGCCAAGCCCAGCCCCTGAAAAACAACCCTACACGATAATCCCCCCTCCACCAAACTTTACACTTGGCTAAATGCAGTCAGGCAAGTACTGTTCTCCTGGCAACCACCAAACCCAGACTCGTCCACAGAATTGCCAGACAGAGAAGCATGATTTCTCACTCCAGAGAATATGTCTCCACTGCTCTAGAGTCCATTGCTGTGCTTTACACCACTGCATTCGATGCTTTGCATTGCACATGGTAAGGCTTGGATGCAACTGCTAGGCCATGGAAACCCATTCCATGAAGTTCTCTTTGCACTGTTCTTGAGCTAATCTGAAGGCCACACAAAGTTTGGAGGTCCGTAACTATTGACACTGCAGACAATTGGCAACTTCTGCACCTCAGCATGCATTGTCCCTGCTCTGTGGTTTTACATGGCCTACAATTTCGAAGGCTGAGTTGCTGTTGTTCCCAGTTGCTTTTACTTTTATAATACAAGTAACAGTTAACCATGGAACATTTAGTAATGAGGAAATTTCACAAATTTATTGTACAGCTGGCATGCTATAACGGTACCATGTTTGAATTCACTGAGCTCCTGAGAGCACCCATTCTTTCATAAATGTTTGTAGAAGTAGTCTGCATGCCTAGGTGCTTGCATTTATACTGTACACCTGCAGCTATGGAAGCCATTGGAGCACCTGAATTCAATGATTTGGAGGGGTGTCCCAATACTTTTGGCAGTATAGTGTACACTTTGTTGCAGTATCAGCCCATTGTGTATCCCAAGCTGTATTGAATGTGCAAAACAGCCCTAGCTAGCGACTCCCAAATCATGCACTGATTTTTTCATTACTCACGTTGTCTCACACAATTGTGTGCAGTTTTTTTTTGTGGGATTTCCCAACAAACACTACTTCCACCTGATCAAAATCATAGGTAGTTACTGGGAGACAACTACACCTCTGTTGCGTCGTAATTGCTTGCTGAGTATTTAAACACTGATTTATGGCTAAGCAATCAGTGTAGAGGATTTAAAGGCTGTGATCTATTGCTGCCCAAATTATGGTTTTCATAGTTTGACCAATAAAATAAACAGCAGGTTTTAAAGAGAAACAAACATAAATTTAACATGATTGTAAATAATACATTTAATGTAATTTGTTCAATAAATTTGCCAGTTCAAATAGGTGTTTACTCTGTTAATATCGTAAAATTCAATATTATTATAAATTAACACTATGCTTTATATTATTATCAAGTTGTTTTGTTTAAGTAAAATTTAGCATTTGTTTACTGTAAGAATACTCATTGTGTGATTATTGCAGTAAACTCCCAAGTCATTGTGCCATATTTACAGGGAACCATTTACTCATCTCTTATTTTTTCATCTCTGTGGAGTTTGAATTAAAATATTCTAACTTCCCTCTCCAGTGTTTTCAATCTTGTTCTCTTGCCTTTTCGCACAGGAGAGAAGGTGAAGGGCTGCGTATAAATTGGGATCAGATGAGAGAACCAGCCTTTAGCTCCCGCTGGAATCCATTTGCCAAAGATTATCCCTATGCTACCTTCACTTACCACCCGGTGAGGACTGCCAATGAGAAGTTCACTGCTCTGTGTGAGGTAAGAATCAGGGGGAAAACATAAGAAAACATAAGACAGCCGCAACACTAAAATGGGGAAACCCCCAAGATTGGATAATTTCATGTATTATTATCTCAGTTACTGTGATTGAAATCTGCACCATAAATAACTTATTTTGATTCATCCATCCATTCATCCATTATCCAACCCGCTTATCGTACTGGGTTGTGGGGGTCCGGAGCCTATCCTGGAAGCAATGGGCATGAGGCAGGGAACAACCCTGGACAGGGGGCCAGCCCATCGCAGGGCACACTCAAACACCATTCACTCACACATGCACACCTATGGGCAATTTAGTAACGGCAATTAGCCTCAGCATGTTTTTGGACTGTGAGGGGAAACCGGAGTACCCGGAGGAAACCCCACGACGACACGGGAAGAACATGCAAACTCCACACACATGTAACCCAGGCGGAGACTCGAACCCAGGTCCCAGAGGTGTGAGGCAACAGTGCTAATCACTGCACCACATGTCACCCCCTATTTTGATTCATAAATATTCAAATTAACATTTTTATGAAAAGAGGAAGGTTGGAGAGAATAATAAGGTCAGTGGTAGTGTCCTTTTTAATGTAAAAAGTGTGTGTGTGTTGGTTTTGTATATATTATATTGTGCTGACCAAATGTCCTCACAATGAGATAAAAACTTTTGTTAAAAATTTTATGGTTAAGATTTGGAGTAAGGTTAGGGGTAAGGTTGTCATTTTTAGGATTAGGGTTTTTCTCATAGAAATGAATAGAGAGTCCATGCAAAGATTTGAATAAATACATGTTTGTGTGGTTGGGGGAGGTTGCATTGTTCACATTTGGGGGCCAAAATATTCCCAAAGTGTGGTTAAACCTGAAACTTCCTTGGACATTTCTCTGGTTGGCATTTGGATGAACTCGATTTTGGTTAAGGTTAGGGCTGGGTAGGGGTTAAGGGTGTCATGGGATTAGGATTATGCTCATAGAAATGATGGGAGATTCCCCACAAAGATACACTACATTGTCAATAGTATTGGGACACCCCTCCAAATCATTGAATTCAGATGTTCCAATCACTTCCATAGCCACAAGTACAGGTATATAAAATCAAACACCTAGGCATGCAGACTGCTTCTATAAACATTTGCGAAAGAATGGGTCACTCTCAGGAACTCAAGTGAATTCAAGCGTGGTACATGATAGGATGGCACCTGTGCAATTCATTCAAGTCCATTCATGAAATTTCCTCACTACTAAATATTCCACGGTCAACTGTTAGTCGCATTATAACAAATTGGAAGCAATTGGGAACAACAGCAAATCTGCCACAAAGTGGTAGGCCACGTCCAATCACTGAACGGGGACAACACATGCTGAGTGTATAGAAGTCACCAACTGTCTGCAGAGTCAATAGCTAAAGGGTGGGCCAACCCCATATTAAAGCCTATGTATTAAGAATGGGATGTCATTAAAGTTCATATGTGTGTAGGTGTCCCGATGCTTTTGGCAATATGCTGTATATGATGTTTTTCCACTGACACCAAGAACCGAGCCATACCTAAGCCACACCGTTAACTGACGGTTTTCCATAATAAATTACGAGAGCGATACCCAAGCCATATCCATGCTGGCATGGCACTGATCACTAGCAGGCCGGAAAGGATGACCAAACCCCGTTGGTTGCGTCACCACCATCTGGCTGGTGTAAATACATGGAGAAACCAGTGTTTTATGTAAATATGTATAGATTATCTGAAGGAAAATGTGACATATTCTATATATTGTTCATTATTAGTAGGATCACCCATCGTGAGGTATTGATGCATTCTCAATCATTCATAACTTGAAAATTTATGGGGGGGGGTGCCCAGTAGTTTTTCTTTCTCTGCCTCTGGAGATTTTGGTTCCTCTCCTCCATTGTCACCTGGCTTTCTTTGTTTAATTCTTTCTTTCTACCTTCACTTTCTCCCTATTTTTGTATTATTCTGCTTTAACGATATCGCAATATATTACAACACGCCCATGTAAAGCACCTTAGGACAACGCTTGCTATATAAAAATAGATTTAATTGAACTGTGTATATTCATTCTAAGGTGCAGTGTTGTGTATGTAATTGTGTTGTATTTTTAAATAAGTTTTGCTCTCAAATTCACTACCACCATTATCGAAACTAAATAAAAGCAGTTAATAATGGTAATTCTAAAAGAAATCTTCTTAAAAAATAATGCCAAAAAAGTATGTTGTTAATACGGAACTGAAAGCCCCTCACAAGCTGGTAACTGCTGGGTTTCCCTGCTGGTACTGTTCATGACTGACGCTTTATCATTCCTCTCTGTATGTCTTCATACTGCCTATACAATTGCAGCTGTAAACCAAAAGCTAAATAAGAAAAGACACTAATGACACTTTTCTTCAAAGAATTTCACTTTTAATAAGAAAGATTAGCACTTCACATAGCATACATGCATACTAAATAATATTAATGAGTGATACAACAGTTCATTGATTAAATGTATTTCTAGCCATCTTATCACTTTAACACAGAAGAAAAAAGCAGGAAACATAAACCCTGTATATTCTGTTTATCCATGCTCCTTTATAAAATTAGACATTATAAACTAAAAGCAAACTGAGAAAATAAAACAGGATTCCCACTCTTTTCAGGACATAATTTTCTAGCATTTATCCAGGATATTTTTATGACCCACGCTCATGTGTATATTATATTTAACAGAGGGCTTCCAGGGAAGACACCTTTAAATTAGAGATTTTGCAATCAAACTCAGGCCACCGTCAAAAAATAACCTTCATTTTACTCTAAAATATCTTGACACCTTTAACGCTGACATTATTTCCTTTCTCCTACAATTTCCTACGGTATATCCCATAATTGATAATCGACACTTTCTTTCCTTTAATGAAATGTTGACATGATGAAAAAGGTTCTTTATTTATTTATTTGTTTGTTTGTTTTTCATTTAATGTTGTAACAGCAGTTTAATCAAAATGACCTTTGTTTGACACGTTGACTATTGGATACTTAATCAGTGGCTCATTTATCATTTAGTATTTGTAGAATTTACATTGCTGTGTTTCTTGTTCTTGCTATTCATTGAATTTATTGGTTAATGGAATGCAAATCAATTGCTTAGAGTACACACCAAGAAAGAAAATGTCGGAGAGAGTGATCAGCCCCCCCCCGGCTGCTGGCCCACAGAGTATGAGACACGCGCTGTTTTACTTGTACAAGGGGAGCCACACCTTCTACAGTGAGTTACAGTGATGGCTTCCAAGGTGTGGCCCCTGACAGAGTTTATTTATACTATAAGGTAAACATACTGATCAGGTTACATTGTGGGTGTGAACAACATTTGGAATGGGATAGGATGCAATGGGAAAGTGGGAGTGGGAACAGGAACAACAGAACGTACAGCAGAGGTGGGCTCATCTGCTGCACGTGATGGAAAATTACTGGTAAACACTTACACAGTGGTTTCATGAAACAAGTTATGCATTCTTCAGAATACACGTGAGTGATAATATATATACAATTTCAACCCAACAAAAATAAGATCAGCGATCATGAAATGGAATTATTTGGCCAATATGTATGTAGTGACTATCCAACATCGTCCACTCTACTGCGTAGATGCCTAGATCCTGTTGATTACTCGCTATGCCAATAACTATACAAAGTAACTTCCACATCCGTTTAATCTTTGGGTCAAGTTCCCATTTAATAATGATAATATAAAGGTTACAATTATCACAACATAAGGGTTACTATCGTTTATGGCATATTAGCGGTAAAATCGTATGATGTCCTTGCCACCTCCTCTTACTCCCCATAACCCCATCGTTTTAAGGGTTTCTCTCTCCCCTCTTGCACCGTGACCTGTAGTATACTCAGCCAACACTGCCAGCTAGTGTCAACCACCACCACCACAACAAAATAATTAATGGCTCCCACACACCGGCCCCTAATTGGCAGAGTGTGCCCAATTATACTACAAAAACTAGGGAGCCAAAAAAAAAAATCTTAAGATCTTCTTTCTTACTTCTTCTGGGTGGGATGTTAACCGGCATTGGCTCATGACCTTTATACGGTTTCTTGCAACAGGAAAAGCTTGAAAATAGGATCCATCTGTCCCGTCTTAGTCTTCAACTGTACGACAAACCCCTTCTTGTCTGGGAAAGTTTTGGTCATTCTTCCCATGCTCCATAATCCACGAGGAGCAGTATGATCCATGACAATGACAATATCCCCTAAGACGAAACTTCTTCAAGGCCTCGTCCACTTTTGCCATTCCTGTAACAGTGGCAGGTACTCCGTTATCCACCTCTTTCAGAATAGACCTGAAAGATATTTCACCTGTCTCCATCATCTTCCAATGTACAGATCTTGAAATGGTCCAGGGGCAAGAACAGGTTTTCCCTTTAGTAAGAGGACATGATGAGCTTCCAACTCATTAACATCATTAGATGCCTTAGTTATGGGATGGTCATTAAGAATGGCTTCTACCTCACAGAGGATGGTATGGAGACTTTCATCATCCAAAGATTGTTGCTGCAGAACAAAATACAGAACTCATTTGACTATTTTAATAAGGCGCTCCCAAACGCCGCCCTGATGGGATGCAGCTGGGGTGTTGCAAATCCAGTCAATGCCCCTTTTTAGGAGAGCACCATGAATCTTGCTGTGTTCCATGGAGCTTCTCTTAACTCTCGCTCTGCCCCAACGAAGTTTGTACCGTTGTCTGATCTTCATATTTGACCCCTGCGATTAATAAATCTTCTAATGGCATTGATACAGGAATATGTACTCAGAGTGTATGCCACCTACAAATGCACAGCTCTACTGGCCATACAGGTAAAAATAACTCCATATCTTTTGACCATTGCATGCCCCCTCTTGACCTCAATGGGTCTGAAGTAATCCACCCCCACACTTGTGAAAGGAGGCAGATCAGGACTTATTCTTTCTTTGGGCATGTCGGCCATCTTCTGCTCA